CTCTCTCTCTTTACTCACACACTTCCAGCCTCACACCCTCTCTCTCTTTCTCTCTCCCTGCCTCTGTCCCTCCTCTTCTCCCACCCTGGCTGTAAGCTGGGAGATCGAGGCTCCGCTCTTAAAGGGCCAGCAGCAGAGCCTCTGTCGCTCAGTGTGTGTGTGTGTGTGAGAGAGAGAGAGAGAGAGAGAGAGAGGAGGGGCCATTTGACCAGAGGGCTCATCACTCCCTGAGTGTAAATGCTGCCCCCTTCCTCAAGTCTCTCTCTCTCTTTCTCTCTCTCTCTCTCTCTCTCTCTCTCTCACACACACACACACACACTCAGACAACAGTCACACATCATGAAGACACACTTCAATAAGAGCTATAAGACGACTGCACGTGCGCTTTATTATGAGCAGAACTGATCAATATGGAGTAAACCTCCCTGAACTATATAAAACATACATCTGTATTTATATTTAGCTTCAGTACTCAGTTACTTGTGTCTTTCAATCACCTTGTACTTAAAATATTGTACTGTCAATACCTCCATTAGCACATACTTCTTTACAGTGACAGCTTTGTAGAAGCCCTGGTGGCGAGAGTTTCATCTCACTGCAGTGAACTTATTCCTGAACTATTTTGACCTTTTATTATTCTTATGGCCTGTGTTTGTCTGTGTGCTACTGGATGCCTACATTTCCCTCATGATCAAAGTATCCGTCTATCTATCTATCTCTTTATCTATCTATCTATTTATCCATCTATCTATCTATTTATGCGTGTGCAGTGCACACACACAAATATTTTTATTTTCAAAGGCATGTTCTATATTTCATACTTTCACACAATATGATGTCAGTTGAGTTGAGTCACTTTCTATCGATGGTGGGTAACACAAATGTGACTTTGTATATTTGGAGTATTAAGACTGGGTTTCTATGGTGACGTTCCCAGAAGAAATGCCCAATTCAGTTGATGTGAGTGGGAATTAAACATTTCCTTCCGCTGCAGCTTCACATTAAATGCGTTTAACTGGTTAGACACTGGTTTGACTTTTATTATAAAAATAGTTGGAGGAAATGCAACTTGTTTTGTTGTCAGTCAGCCTCACACTTACCGCTACTGTTTATCAAAAATGCATCTACGAAACAAGACAAGAGATATTTATAAATCATATCAATCTGAAATATTACAGTGAGTAATGGAACAGCCAGGATGAGCCACAGTAAGATCTTAGATAATGGGCTGCAGGCTCTAACGTTTCAACAAACTCCCAGAATGATGGGAAATTAACAATCACTGCTTGTATCAAAACAATAGTTGTTTTGCTTCCCCCCAGAGTTCTGTGACCTCAAGTCTTAAAACACATTCGGTGATAATTTAGCACCAGTAACTACAGGTGTCAACAAATCAACAAGCACTGAAATGTTAGGAATTCTGACTTCACATGAGTTTAAAGCCAGGTTTGGTGAGTTGTTTCTGAAACTATTATTTGTTGAAATCCTCTTCACATCCCAATATCCATGAAGAAATAAACTGACCCGCCTGCCTGTGCATAATCGTAGTCGTCAACTGGAGACACATACACCACTGAAAGATGACAGTCAGAAGTTAGCAAGCGAGTCATGGAAAAGTGGGTTCCAGCAGTTGTCATCCAGTAAAGGTTTTGGGGGCGTAGCTTTAATGAGAGGGTTGATGGGAGGGGTCTGTTACATATATTTCAAAGTGTAGCCTGCATGCTCTTGCTAGATTTTCCAGGATTGTCCACCCTTGCTTTAACTTTCCCAGCCTTTCTAAAACATTCAGATTAGAATAGGGATGCAATGAGGAGATGTGAAATGGTTTGTCAGACCAACTGTTCAAAAGCAAATAAAAATTCGACCCAAAAATTACAACGATAAAAGCAGCAGATTATCTACTTAGAGATGCTTGCAAATATTTGTAATTACGCTGCACCCTATAAACTGAAGTGTTGAACTAATGTGGGCAGAAGAAAGAAAGGAGAGGTTCAAAATAAATACATTTTAGTACATTTTGAGTTGGACTCATTCATGCTGAGTTAGTTCACCTGTGTTGGATGTAGAACAAACCCTGAATTGAGATCAATAAGGATTAAAAATTATTTCAGGTGTAGCAGAATGCTCCACAACATAGTCAAGATGGTTAAATCACTACTACTGCATTCAAAGAATATAATGATTAATTGATGATGTAAAATCAGACAAATGCATGTTTTAGAGAAAATAATCTTATCTTTGTCAATCATGAGGTGAATGTTACAATGATAACTCATAATTTGTCAACCTTCTTTTGTCATTTCAATCCATTTGTACATCATAACCTTTTCTTTCACTTTTCCCATTATTCCGTTTGAATATGGGGTTTTTTCTAAGATTTGGAGCCATTAGTTTATATTAAATGGGTGTTAATCATATTTTCTATGGCTTTTATTAATGCAGAACAATTGCAAGGACAAGTGATGCAGGAATCTGAAAATAATGCGCACGATCCAGCCAATCCGAGCTAGTTCTTCTCCAGGGCCATATTATAACAAATGAGATGGAATAAAAGCTTTAACAGACTTTAATTTGCCTTCTTTCTTTCCCCCCTTTGTTTTGATGCAGTGCTAAAGAGATGTTTGATTCTGCTACATGGAGCAGTTTTGTTACGAGAAGACAGCTGAACGCTTTCAACAGAACATATGCTGAAGCTCACACGCATGAATGAACGCACGCACACAAAATACACATATACAAACTGGCTAAAACCTTCACAGATCACCCACACCCATTGTGTCCTCAGGTAGACATACTGTATGTGTGTGTGTGTGTGTGTGTGTGTGTGTGT